TCAGAAGATCTTGTAAAATGACTGGGAACATATTGAATAACTATGACTATATGATATATGTACTAGTGTGTAATATCTTACAAAGGAAACATCACCTATGGATGGGACTCTCCCTGCTCCAACTGGCAGATCTGCAGCGCTTGCTGATAATCTCTGCAGGCACCTGTGAAACAATGATTAGCTGCCAAATAACGCGCCCTTGCATCCAGACTAAGACCGAGCAGCAACCTGGTGTCTTTGCGCTCCTCATCTAATTGAAATCCAAACATATAGTAAGAGATCAATACACTGGCAAACAAACACTAATGATCTGTTTGCTTTAACATACAGCCAAAACTGAAAGTGGTTCTGAGGTATATGTGATACCTGACAGGCTTTCTGGAGGAAACTCCTTTTGTTTCTCAATCTTGGCCTCTAAAGACTCTGTGCAGAACTGGAAGCCATGCTCTGCCAATTCGTTCCTGAAAATGAAAAGTCTGAGTTACTAAACAGTGCAGAGGTTAACAGGTCAAATAACTAGTGTTTTCCCTCTTTTCACTCTCTCAGCAGAGGACCAGAACTCACTTGTTTTGAGTGGCATTTATGCTGGCCAGCTTCAGCGACATCTCAATCACTGCATTGTCATCCTATTGAGATAAAATGAGTACAGGCAGTATAAAAACAGACTGAGGATGATTGCATTTCTCATTGTTTTTGCTTGGTTTATAGGATAATCAGTTAACCAAAATTAAGAAAATCAGAAATTAAGGAATCAGCAAAAAAAAGAGTGTTTTTACCTGTGGTGTTCCTCCTGACAGCATAAAACTCATGGCTGCTTTGAACAGCTTCTCAGCCTGCAACAAAAAAACAACAAATAGAGTCACATGCTGACGCTCACTACTGATGTACGCTCTAATGTTGAGTACTGAGTCAGTGGAGTAGGGCAGAGGGAAGATCACCATCAGCCTTACTCACATTATCCAGCTGACCTTGGACAAAGGCAAGATTCGCCACCTGTGAAGCTACAGAAACATTAAACAAAATAATGCTCTCATTTAATTTTCTCTGTCATCTAATATATACTATTGATGGTTGCAATTTTCTGTTTAACAATGAGAAAAAAATGGACTGGGCTAGGTGAAAAAGAAGGACAAAGTCAGAAAACAACATACCAGGCTGTATGTGTAAATGATGGCATCATTATTGTGCATCTGATGTGCCAGTCGAACAGCTTTGTGTAAGAAACCACTGGCACCAGTGAACCAGGGATTGAAGCAGATTACACAATACCATTTAATGGGACAAACTGTTAGTCACATCAGAAGATCTTGTAAAATGACTGGGAACATATTCATTGAATAACTATGACTATATGATATATGTACTAGTGTTTTTACCACTGGCAGCATCCAGTTCTCCAATCATCATGCTGTACTGTGAAGGGTGATGGAGTAACATTCAGTCTTCAAAAATAAATATGATGAAAGTCATTTTAAAAAATATTGAAGACTGGAATGACTGGAACAATTTGCTAGTTTCTGAAAGTCAGAGCCAGTCTGATGATCTCAGTTTTTTCTCTGCAACCATTTACAAAATCTGCACGTGAATAATGCCTACTTGTAAATTGTTGTAAAACCTGATTTGAAAAGTCATGTAGTGAATGCCAGCCTTAAAGGAATAGTTCACCCAAAAATTAAAAAGAATTTGCTGAAATTTTCACTTCACAAGACATTAGATGGACTGGTCTTGTGTGATCACTTGTGGATTGTTTTTATCAGCTGTTTGGACTGTCATTTTGGCGGCACCCATTCACTGCAGAGGATCCACTGGCGAGCAAGTGATTTAATGCCAATTTTCTCCAAATATGTTCCCATTAAGAAACAAACTCATCTACATCTTGGATGGCCTAACGGTAAATTAAATTTTTTTGGGTGAAGTATTCCCACATTTTAGAGTTTTTTTTTTTGGTGGAAAGTCCAGAAATCTGAAACCACTACTGAACATGCTTCTCATTTATATATTTATATGTAACACAAATTATTTAATAACAAAATATATTATCAGAGTAACAATGTAGCAATAATGTGAACTGAAAAAATCTAGTCCTTTGCTTTGTCCCTCTTTTTTCATTGTGGTCTCAGACTACGCTAGGGTAAACAAATGTAGGTACATTAATGTCTTAATGTGTTACCCGTGTGTCAATAAAGAGGACTCAGTAAAGCATCACAGGATACCTTGGCTTTCTTCAAGAGCAGAATAAGTTCGTCCTCAAGTTTTTGTTCTTCAGTCCTCTCATCAGAGCTTCCAAGAAGCGAAAAGGCTGCTGCAAAAGCAAATCTCACTGTTAGAATATTTTAATCATTACGCAGACGGAGCTTATCCTGCGTTGATGTGGTTTATACATTACGTAAATATCATGAACCGCTGTTATGACAGCATCAAATGCAGCTACCAATGCTTTTGATTCACACCCATGCCACCCCACGCAAGAGTCCAGCTGCTGACCCCTAGACCCCCGCAGTGCCTGAGTGACGCTTCTCACTGACACACAGATGCCATGACCTTCTGCGCCAGCGGCTCGACCGCACGAACACACCAGCCGGCGCATGCAGATGCAGCGATTTGATTCTTGCTAAAGATCAACTAGAACCGCATATATTTCTCGTACAGTCGTTAACACTGTGCTTTAAACGAGCTACTTGTGCAGCCAGCTGTCGACAGCAAGAGCGCACTCAGAGCCATATTTCTGTGAATATGCACTGACTACAGGCGTGGTGGTCATGTGACCTTATTTCTATTCAAATTTGGATATAAATTCTATTTACATTTTACATTGTGCATTGAATGTGGATTTCATATATTATTATTAATTTATCTTAATGCCTGGCACTTCAGATGCACTCAAACATACGGGTCATTCCTGTAGTACAATATTATTAATAAAAATATAAACTCTATACATTTTATATACTTTCAAACTATCACATTTTAAAATATTTCAAACACCTTTGTTTAAATTAATCCTAATATCACAATTAGAAATATTGTTTTAATGTGTAATTAACTAATAAGGGCCACTCATCCTCCAGGGTGACACAATTTTGGTTGAAAAAACAAAACAAAAACAAACAAACCCTAACCCTAAAATAATCATTTAAAAATAAACTATAAAGAGCAGGTTTACAGATGAAAATTCTTGACCTATTACTAAGGTACTTTTTTAAATGACTGCATAACAGGAATAACACAAAGTAGACACACCGGTTTATTATTCACTCTTCTGTTTATTTATTGTACTAAAGCACAGATGAGGTTACAAAACAGCACAATATCCTGTTATCACCCACTGGCCATTAGTATTTTAACAGAAAAAAGAGGGAATGCTTTTCAGTTCTAAATTAGCACACAGTGGGTCTCTGTACCACAGATCATGCAGTAATTACAGGTTACACGTATTCATTTGTAGACACAGAAGTGCACAGAGAGAGAGAGAAATAGGAAAGGCATAGGGTGATCCATATACATTCACACTTAATATGCACATGAACAATAAGAACTGCACAAAAGATTACACAGATCACCTCAAATTTAAATCCTTCCTCTGAAAAAATAGCTTTCAATGTCTGTAAAGCCTTTATACATTTCTTCTAAAAAGGAACAAAGTTGCATGTGTGAAATATACATATGGAAAAATACATACATTTGTGTTTTTTTAAACTGCCATTTATTTCAGCAACAACATTGTAGGTTAGCATAGCCTTAAATCAAGAAATAAAGTGTATGGGTATGTGAGGCTTTCCACCCAAATCTCTTTCACGGTGACAAATCAAACACCAAACAATCAAAAAGATGAATGTTTAATTTACAGAAACAGTTTAATTTGCAAGCAAAGAGGAATGTCAATAGTGGTTTAAATGACCTAAAAACCTATTGAGGTTTTCAGAATTAAGTAGGGTTTTCCAAATTAAAATATCAACACACTCTCTACACCTATAAGTTCTTAAGAGACAAGACAAGTATATTAAAGCCCATGGAAAATAAGCCCTATGTGCTTAAAACAAATCATAAAATACATTATATCATCTTTTGTCTCTTCTGAATGTAATAAGTCATCTCTTTTCAATTAAGTCAGCACCTGACAATTCAGTATCTAAAACATTTTGCTCCAAGGTGACTTAGAAAATTAGAAATAAAAGCAATCAAGTGTCTTGAAAATGAGCAAAAACTCCCAAGCATCACACACTTACGAGTTAATTTACGAGGCAATTTATAGACATACATTGCAGACCTCACGACTGACCTGTTGGACCAAGTGCCGCATTTAAAATCTCTGCTATTGTCACATGACAGAATTATATTTGGCACACAGAATTTTTTTTTTTATAAATCTGCATTGGCTGCATACAACAACACCGAAACCTCATTATCAACCAACATTCAGAGGCACTAAATATTTACCAACCGCAACTTGTAAGCTCCAGCTTCTGTCCCCAGTCAAGAGCAGATTATTGCACAAAAAGCAATTTAAAGTGTCACATAAGGGCCTCTCTAGCTCTGGTATAATTTCACTGCACAATGTTGCTGATTGACAAAACTCAGGTTGAAAGGACTGTTATACATGTAGTGATCGCCGGCAAAGAGCTGCCTGTCAAGTTTAAGATTGATTTCAACTATACAACGTGCAAATGAAGGGATAATATCCATTGACAATTAAGTATGTCAATGGATATTATAAACCGTCACTATATTCCCCACTAAATCACACTCAAACACACACTGACTTTTTTTCTCATTATTGTATGTTGGAATTCTAAATATTATTTAATGCAGATGGCCTAGGGTTTTTCAAATCACTTGAACTGAAAATACAAAAATGATGTGCAGTGATTGTCTACCCTAAACAGCATTTGTATATCTGACTGGTAGCATGGTTATCTTGCAGCGAGGGTGCATACAAGGTGTGCAAAGAGCTGCCTAACCATGACCAGAAGGAAAACAACAGCACACATCAAACTTCAAAAATAAAAGCAATCAAGTGTCTTGAAAATGAGCAAAAACTCCCAAGCATCACACACTTACGAGTTAATTTACGAGGCAATTTATAGACATACATTGCAGACCTCACGACTGACCTGTTGGACCAAGTGCCGCATTTAAAATCTCTGCTATTGTCACATGACAGAATTATATTTGGCACACAGAATTTTTTTTTATTATAAATCTGCATTGGCTGCATACAACAACACCGAAACCTCATTATCAACCAGCATTCACAGGCACTAAATATTTACCAACCGCAACTTGTAAGCTCCAGCTTCTGTCCCCAGTCAAGAGCAGATTATTGCACAAAAAGCAATTTAAAGTGTCACATAAGGGCCTCTCTAGCTCTGGTATAATTTCACGGCACAATGTTGCTGATTGACAAAACTCAGGTTGAAAGGACTGTTATACATGTAGTGATCGCCGGCAAAGAGCTGCCTGTCAAGTTTAAGATTGATTTCAACTATACAACGTGCAAATGAAGGGATAATATCCATTGACAATTAAGTACCGTCACTATATTCCCCACTAAATCACACTCAAACACACACTGACTTTTTTTCTCATTATTGTATGTTGGAATTCTAAATATTATTTAATGCAGATGGCCTAGGGTTTTTCAAATCACTTGAACTGAAAATACAAAAATGATGTGCAGTGATTGTCTACCCTAAACAGCATGTGTATATCTGACTGGTAGCATGGTTATCTTGCAGCGAGGGTGCATACAAGGTGTGCAAAGAGCTGCCTAACCATGACCAGAAGGAAAACAACAGCACACATCAAACTTCAACTGCCACACAGAATGAAGGAAGACTGTTCGCTCCTCACCAAACCTTGGAGTAACTGAGAAGGGTGTGTGAGTGTGTGTGTGTGTATGTGTGTGTAACAGCGGACAAAGGCTAAAGCCTGGGCACAGCATGAACACCTCACTCACGGCTCCCAAAGAGCTGAAGGAAAAAAAGGAATATGTAGACCACATCCATGTAGAGGCAGATGGCTCCGAACACATGCTCCTCTGGGTTCAGAGAGTACCGCCTGTTGCCGAGCAGCAGCTGCATGTCAAATGCCAGAAACTATAGCACGACAAAAAGAAGATAATTACATCTTGTATGAAGCACATAAACATGACGAAATTGCATTGTTAAAGGGTACTAACCAGAGTGAAAACCAGAGCACCAAATCCAGCATAAGCAGTATGCAACCAGGGTATCTAAAACCACAGACAGAAGCAGATGTTTAAGTTGACAACACTGCACTGGAACACACTGGGAATGCATACTGCACACTGTATAAACGGTGGCAGGTGTGGTTACCACAACTTCACTGTAAAAAAAGGTAAAAAAAACTTACATTTATATTAAAAACCTGTATTTCATTAACTGGTATAATGTTAATATACCAACCTATAATCTCTTTTGTACCTTTATAATATACTGACAACCACCAAAAAACACAGGAGGTAATGAGAAAGACACATGATGAATCACAACATGAAGGTCACAACAAGTAGCTTTTCCACAAGCAGAAATAACCAATTAACAAGTTTTTACCGTACATTGTAAGAAACAAATTCATAGAAAAACGGATAATATGCTGGCTTAAAATTACCAGTACATTTACAGTTAAATTTACAGACATTTCCTTCGACCCTAAAACACAACACAATGCAAAGTGTAATTCAAACTATGGGTGAAACACCTGTAAAAAAAAATCAATATAGACAATTCCTTCATATTAACAGTACATTGGGCCATATTTCTACGGACTTTTCTTAAGAGTGCAGCATTCTTAGAGTCGTTTACCATTAAAATTCTGATCATTTTATCCACCTTATTTTTCAACGCGGAAATAAGCCGTTTTCTGTGAATGTGCGAGACTTCCGGTTCATTAGCCGCTGTAGGAAAATAACGAGAAGAATAACAAAGTAAATGGTAAAACTGTTTGCACTACAAACCAGTGTGTTCATAATTAAACTAATACATTAAAATAATATGGTAAGACACACCAGTTTGCAACATCAAGCAGCAAAACGAGTTATTTTGTACAGCTAAAAGTAGCTGGAAGGGAATAACACCGGAAGCCAGACACATTAAATTGGCTGCGTCCGTATAAATAAGGTGGATACAGTGTAGATATTTCAAAAAGATAAAGGTAAAAGTGATTATGGCACAGCATAATAGTGATTACATATCTATTAAGGGTTTACAAGCAGCTTACATATCCAAATGGTGCGGTGAAGAACAGCAGAAGCCCAGTGACCATCAGCACCATCATGAGGGAGAAAAGTAATCCATGACAGGTGGTGAAGTCAACCTAGATGACAGAAGACCTCACTCTATCAAATGACATATAAACGAAGCACTTGAAAGAAGCCATTTAGGACAAAATGATCTCACCCTGGATTGGAAACAGAAGAGTGTGATGGCCAAACACACCAGTGCTGTGATGCCCACACACATCATCACCACTTTGGTATTATGATAGCTGTAAATAGAAAAAGAGTGAGATTGCTGCAAATTCAACACATACACACTAACATTCTAAAGAGCTAAAAAATGAAAAGAATCATTATAAAGAATATTTCACTTCTAACAGTGCTTCGTGTTTTAAATTAATAGAATACAATAAGTGTAATAAGTTATTACATTTAAATATAAAGTTTATCTTACCTGGCTAGCATGCCTGCCATATAGGACATTGCCAAAGTCTGAAAATAAAACAAGAATATTCACCCCTTTCTTTTTCTGGTGGATAAAAAGGTTAAATGATAGTGGATACTTATTATAAATTAGTGTTTACTATCATTTAAGTTTCAAATGAATGAGATTACTTACAAAAATGGCTAGAAGGATCATATTGGTAGGGTATCTTCGTCTGTAGATGAAACACAAACACTGATAGATAAGTGATGTATGCTAAAGAAGCTCACAGTTCCTGAAATCACACATCTCCTACGTGAGCAAACATCTCACATGTTGGTTTCAAACTCAAAGACAAGAAGAAATTATTTTCTTACCGTGCATTTGTGCTGCATACAAGCATCAGGTATGTTCCCATGAAAGTCATGCTGGACAAAAACAAAGCAGTGTCACTAACAGGGTAAACATAATTCAAACATAAAGTCCCGAAAGTTCCCTCTAATGAGGAAACAGAACAGTGTATAATTCAGTCACTTACTATGAGGTCAGATAGAAAACTCGATTGTACTGTACAAACTTCCGGACAGGCTCACTGTGAAAGACAGTGACAGTGCTTTCTTTTAAAAGTGCAATAAATGCATATAATGGGGTTGTCATGTACTCTGATGCGTGTATGACTTACCAAAATGTGAAGAGTGACACCACACCAAATGTGACCATGAGCTGAACCATGAGGATACAGAACACCTGCCAAAGAAAAACATGCTTTTCATGATCAAAATTTTTCAGGTAGGTAAGATTTTTTTAATGTTTTTGAAAGACATCTCTTAAGCTCATCAAGACAGTACTAAAAATACTCTAAAACCGTTATATTGTGAAATATTATTACAATTTAAAACAGCTGTTTTCTATTTTAATATATTTTAAGTTGTAACTGCAGAAGTTCCCACGCTGAATTTTCAGCTGCCGTTACTCGTCTTTAGTGTGACATGATGCTTCAGAAATCATTCTAATATGCTTATTTGATGCTCAAGAAATATTTCTTATTATTATCAATGTCGAAAACAGTAGTGCTGCTTAATATTTTTGAGAAATCTGCAATACATTTGAAATGGAGATAAAGTTAAAAGGAACAGCATTTATTTGAAATAGAGATCTTTTGTAACATCTGAAATACTGACACATTTTCCCTTTCCAAAAACAGTTGAATCAGGACTTTCACACCTTCCTGATGAACATACGGCGGACATTCTTGTCCTCCCAGTTGCTTCCACTGAGCCCATCGAAGCTGCTGCTGGAGCTCGGGTCAGAGAAGGGTGAGGACATGTCTGCAGCATATGCATTGGAATATCCTGGACCTAAACACACATTTTGCACTATTAACATTGTTCAAACAGAGAAGACAGACATCAAAGATAATGTTCCATACTTACCAAAACTTCTGCATCTATAGCCAGAGATATTATAATAGATTGTCACTTACTTGGGCCAGGATGCACATAAGCCCAGCTGGGGTGCATGGACATGGTTGGGGGTGGCATTGGGGGCGGCTGGGAGGCATAAGTGAAGCTACCAGCTCCTTGTTCTTTATCTCCTGCTGTAGCTTCAGCATAGCTGGGTGGGGCTGCTGGCAAACTCATGGTCTACTGTAAAACAATATCATTAACACAATGAAAGAAATCATCCGAGGATGGAATCACAACTAGATCTGATACTTGAGCACCCTGGCTTGCATTAATATTTTATACCCCAACACCAATGGAACTTTGCAACTCTTCACCACATGAATTCATTACGAACCTAACACTTGGATCCTTTCCTGTTTTAAGCCAATAGCAGACAGAAAGGTTAAAGTAGAGCTTTTATAAAATTATCTTTCAACTGACCAGATTATAATGCTTATAAATTAACTCTGTAAAGCCTGACATATAAGTCCAAATGTTTTTTAATGGAAGAGTTTATTGAACCTTTACACAAAATTTAAAAGAACTTCTGATAGCTTGTAACAGTATAACAGACTTTTTACAACAACAAAAAAAAGCGTTAAAATTTTAGTTGTCGCTCTAAATCTCCTAACAATATGTCTTAGTAAAATTATATTTAAATGTTTAGTTATATGATCAACACTCTGTAGTATTTATTATGGGGGCAAAACATATAATGCAATACAATACAATGATGACTGAGAGATAAGAACATTCCTCAAAAGCCTTAATACTCACACTTAAACATATGGATAATCAAGCCAACTTAAATGGCTTCAGTGCCGTAAATGTTCATTTTGAAATATTAATATCAATATAAAATGTATTCTTACATTTACTTTTCAAAATGATAAAAAGTTTTCACTGCAAAAATACACGTTTTTAAAATTAAACAAAAAAAAAAAGTATAATTTTCTTGCTAAAAAAAGTATGAATCTGCAATCAGATGACAGAAGGCATGTAGATTGTGTAGAATTAATTTTTTTCTTCAACGAAGTGGTGATCATGCTGATAATTTAGAGGCTTTAGAAATCATTGTATCAAATATGAACAATAGTATTTACATGGTTAATTGTATTGTCAAAAGTGTAGTGTTATCTATCGGTTATTATCAACAATAAACATTGAACATCAGTTTAGACATTGATCTGGCTAGTGACTGTAGAGCTGTCAAACACACCGCACAACAGTCTCTCATCCGAAACTATTAGTCCTAATGAGTACCGTTATACTAAAGTCAGGAGCAGAGACAGGACTGATACACATGCCGACAGCGCTTAGCTTAGCATCGATTACACTTTTCAAGCCCAGTCTGTCGTGTATGAGACGACAAATGATTTGCGCATATAAGAATATGGCTGTTAGAAATTACTTAAAAATGTAGGTTCTAATTAATTAGTCATAAACTAAGCTCTGTATTTCAACTTACCTTACTGTAACAGCTAATGTGATACTCGAGATTCCCAAGTGAAAACAATGTACTCAATCATGTAATGACGTACGTCCGGTGTTTCCGGAAATGATAAACGCGAATCATGCACCGTTTTAACAAAATGTACTGTACTGATTATTGAACATATTGATTAAATATTTTATTTCACAGCGAAAACGTACTGTTGCTCATACAAGCCAGTAAAATAAACGACCTCACATATTTGATTACCTAACGTTATATTTTATTTTTGATGGCAAATTTCCATATCCATAAAAGCAAATTCTCGAATTAGAAATCATGCTTTTTATCATTTAAAAATAAGAAACATCTTATACTGAATCAATCTGACCTTCAAATAAAAACATACCATAGCTATTCAGATCGTACACACAATTCTTTGTTAAAAACTGTTTATACATGGTCATATTGTTCATGTGCTTGTTGTTCAATCACAAAGTATTAAGTATGTGCTACAATTTTGGATAAACGTCATATTTTTATGAATATTTTATCTATCGGAATCAGCAAAGGCTTTATTGCCAGGTATGTTAACACTTACCAGGAATTTAGGGTGACAGGAGCTTCCACTGCACAAACAGAAGGACAGTGACAAGACAGATAATAGAAAAACCAATAGGAAATAGCAATATGCAACATACATACACACACATATATATACACACATACAAACTAATAAACATTACTAGAAAGGTAAAAGACACCAAGGTAAAAATGTCTACACTGTAAATATCCCTTTTCTGTTGAACATTTTGTAAAAAGAAACCTTAAAAATAAATGTATTAATCCCAGTTTGCTTACAAAGGTAGAGAGGCAGCTGGAATTATTCAGCTATGCAGACACTGATCCATAATCCTCCTGGTTCTGTAAGAAACCAAGATAACAGATAGAGCAAAATGTATAGAGAAGACAGATTTTGAACTCAAAGGAAAAAAATGTCCAAGCCAAATCAATAAACGTACACTTTTAATTAGAATTAGACATTTTAGCAAATAGAGCTTTAAACAATATTTGATAAAATAAAAAAAACCTCATCAAGAGTTCTTTACGTTTACTTGATCCTTCATCTTACAGTCTTTGTCCTATAGACCTTTCCTGTTCTAGTACAAAAAAAACAAAGTGCACACCCATGATTTTAATAGGTATTTTGAAAGTAAAGTCCAAATACTGTGATGCATATTAAGACAAAAAAAGAAAACAAGACAGCTACTTCCACTGGAAACCCCAGCGACTGACTCGGGTGTTAAAGGTGGTACTGAATCTGCAGTCTAACCAGCATGCTTGTATTTCCTGGAGAGCAATAGTCTCATTGGCAGAGATGTTGGAACTGCCATCTATGGGGGGGCTCTACTGGCTATAAGTCATGCATCTGTTTGTCGATTTTTGATTTTAGATGTTCCTTGTAGGCCAGAATGTCCCTGCTCCATTTTGTGATAGTCTGCTTTTCACAAACCCAGATCTCCTGAGCCACCTGCAAGGAAACAAACCAATATTACTACAAAGTAACAAAGACCTCAAGTCAGCTGCAGTAGCTTGACCGAGACAAAATGATAGTTAAATGTACAAGAAAGGGCAAAAAACTAACTTAAACCTTCACATTACCTGCTGAATAAGCCTAAAGTCGTGGCTGACCAGCATCATTCCACCCTCAAAGTCATTGATCGCCTCAGCCAGAGCATCAATGGTTTCAATGTCAAGGTGATTGGTCGGCTCGTCAAGAAAGAGCATGTGGGGATTCTGCCAGGCCAACCAGGCAAAGCAGACACGGCACTTCTGCCCATCAGACAGATTCCTAATAGGGCTCACCTAGTTTAAAAAGGAACACATCAATATGTAAAGTAGAATATATTTGCAGGTTAAAATAGTTTAAAAAACAAAACCTACCTGCTGTTTGCCGGTGAGTCCATAGCGGCCAATGATTTTCCTCATTTCTTCTTTCTCCTTAATCTCAGGGTAACACTTCATCATGTATTCCAGAGGTGAAAGGTCAAGCTCCAATTGCTCTGTTAGATGCTAGAGAAGTTAAATACTATTAAAACCAGTCTAAACCACTGAACTCAAATTATATGGAGGCATTTTAATATTAACAATAAAGGTCATTTAAGTTATTGCCATTATCTTCACTATTATGATCCTGATCCATTATAATTATTACTACGTAAATGTCATGACAAATGGTCTAGCCAACAGACCTGATGATATCGTCCAATCTTCACATGGGAGTGTTTTCTAATCATACCATCTGTGGGCAGGAGCTGAGGGAGGAAAAAAAAAAAAAAAGATCATATTTTATAAACCACAATACTAAACTCCAAATTACACAAAATGTGTGAACACCAAAGTTAAATGCATGAGTTAAAATCTGCCTTACCTCTCCAGTAAGGAGCTTCAGCAAAGTAGACTTGCCCGCCCCATTGGGCCCTACAAGGGCCACCCGTGTGTCCAAGTCAATTCCAAACTCCAGGTTCTTATAAATATGTGGCTATATAACACACAAGAGATACATGTGAGAACCTCAACCCAGAGAAAGATGCAACAAAGTGTCAAATGTTGTATTGTATATTAGACCTGCATACCGTATTTTCTGAATACCTGAAGCTGACATTCTGAACCATAATGATAGGAGGAGGGATCTTCCCACAGGGAGAAAAATAAAATGACAGGGTCTGAAAGGACAAGGTAGTTTGAGTTAGGGCTGGGCGATATGGGCAAAAAAAATATCACGATAATTTTTTTCATTTCAGTCGATATCGATAATTATCACAATAAATGTCAAATCTTTATTGCTTTCAAGTTTAAAGCCAGATTTTTGCTCCACAGTGAATGTTGTAGAACCCAGACCATTAATTTTCCTTAGAATAAATATCTAAATAGAAAAATGTATTTCTTACTTTCTGCATGTTCTAATGAGTGATATTGTTTCAAATCAAGAAACAGATTTGTGTTGCCTGATAATATTAAAAATAATATAACTTTTTTGTCTCTTAGATATGCACATTTGATAGTGGCTTGAGTTAGGATGTAGAGGTACATTTTTGTTCATTATCAAAATCAGTAACATCTGTAAAAATTGTAGCAACCTCAGTTTTATATGGTTACATTTATTCTGACCGTTTTACTATTATTATTTTTAATTAAGCATTGGTATTCCATAGTAGCATACATTTAAATCATGATAAACAGTTAAAACCACACATATAGCACCTCAATACCATGGTAAAAATATAACTATATGGTTTTTAGGTAGCTTGTATGAAAATCAGTAGTATAAAAACATTCAGTATAAATTAGCGCTGCACGATAAATCGCATGGATATTTAATGCGCATCTTGTCAGTAAAGCCGGTTCTGTAATCAGCGGTAAATCTCCATCACGTGATTACAGAACCGGCTTTACTGATAAGATGTGCGTTAAATATTAGGGATGCTCCGTGTTGCACTAAATATGGTCAAATGTTACACATTGCTATTTGTATTATAAAATCCATTCATTAAAAATATTCATGAATGTATTTATATATACGTTTATACTATAAAATTTAAATAAATTTATTTTAAATGTATAGCATATTTTTTAATAAGGCAACAACATATGATAGATACGATAGGACAAAACAAATACAGTGCAGCACAATCTGTTTTTATACAGTCAACCCTCAACGGTTATATATACAGTGGGTACGGAAAGTATTCAGACCCCCTTAAATTTTTCACTCTGTTATATTGCAGCCATTTGCTAAAATCATTTAAGTTAATTTTTTTTCCTCATTAATGTACACACAGCACCCCATATTGACAGAAAAACACAGAATTGTTGACATTTTTGCAGATTTATTAAAAAAGAAAAACTGAAATAACACATGGTCCTAAGTATTCAGACCCTTTGCTCAGTATTTAGTAGAAGCACCCTTTTGATCGAATACAGCCATGAGTCTTTTTGGGAAAGAGGCAACAAGTTTTTCACACCTGGATCTTAGGACTGGTGCTGGTGCTTTTTTTGGTCATTCAGTGTTCCTGTAAAAAAAACGAACAATAATACATTTAAGATATTATTATTATACAAATTCTACTAATAAGAACAATATAAAAACGCACTAAGGGTTAATGAGCTACTGGATTCATGAATATTAATCGGGTTGTGTGCGTTTGCTCGAACGGATTCGCTGAAATCAAAACCGGGACAATAATAGGTGAGCACCAGCCAATGAGATTGTCGTTAGCACATTAGTTCCGCCTACTACAGGAAAATCCGGCAGTTCTTAAAAGCTGAAGAATTCCAAAGGAACTCTTGTTATTTTTACAGGAAAATACAACAAAGTATATCGTTCACATGTAGCGCATCAATTTTGCATGTTATGTAAGACTCACTCTCGCTCTTTGCGCGTGTGAGAGAAAGCGACGGCGCGTCGTGCGCCTTCACACTAGAGCTTACGTTACGCCAAATACACAAACACAGGTGCGCTGCGCATCCATTCAAACTGAAAAATAGCACAGATCGCTTGACAGAGAGTGAAACTCTGAAGCGCTCAGTCAGTGTTCTGTGAGTGAAAATATATCTGTGCTAATCATATACTCAGCCTCCAACTCACACACTGGCGAGTAAAATCTGAGAATTGATTAGCCATTGGCTAATATTAGACATCATTTAGTCGCCCAGAGTGAAGATTTAGTCGCATATGCGAGTGATTTACTCGCAATGTAGAGGGTTGACAGTCTATGAGCACAAAGCTGCTTTGTGTTAAAAAGTGCAAAGCACAAAGGGAAGAGAAATTGATGCGTAGTGTATTATATCTGTGTAACAGTTATTGAGCCTTTCTTTTAACAGTTTAAAATTTCAGTTACTGTGCACGTTAAAAACTATTTATAGTCTTTTCTACGCCCGTGTTTTGTTCTCACAGACACCTGGTAGCAAGTAACAAAACAACATTAAACTCCGGCAAGAAGATAGTCCTTTTTGCAAAATCATAGACATGCATTTACAAATCAAGTATAATGGGAACACAGAATGATCTTGGAGAGGGCTTCACCGAGCTGACTGGTGTAACCGAAGGCGACCA